TTCTCCTTCCCCACCCCGGGGTCAGATGGCACAATCTGGGGACTGAGGTGCTCACCCTGAGGGCCGCGACAGCTCACCCCGAGCCGGGGGCCAAGGGCAGCCCGTCCTGAGCAGGGCAACACCCCCCAGGAGCTGGCTGGTATACTCCCCCTCCAATTGCCCCTACCCCAGTCTGGTCCCCTCACCTGACTGAGGACTCTATGGTCAGGGATAGTGTCTCCAATTCCAGCACTGCCACTTTTACCCCCCCCCATAAGTGGTCATACTATATTTTGAAGTAGGTGTCACTGCCCTCCCCCTTTATATATGATAAAGGGAACCTGAGAATTGTGAACAGACTCCCCCCCACGTCTAACCATCTTTTGGCAGAAGCATTCAACAAAACAAAATATGTGGTGCATTTAGGATGTCTGTCCTCTTGTGCATGCTGCCACTGTTAAGGTCATCAGACTCATCCCCCACCTCCTACACAGGCGGTAAGGGGTGCGTGCCCCCCCCAGCACGAGAGGCCTGCGGAAGGCGCGTGGCCCCCCCAACGCGGGGAGCCCTTGGGGGCGTGCCCCCCCAACCCAGCCGCACGGCCCTCTTGTGCAGGTGGCCAGCAGTCGCCCGCTTCCCCCACTGCCGCCATCCTGGCTCCAAGATTCTCTCCAGAACAAGTCCACCTTGCGACAGTGTGGTGGCTTCACTGTACCAGTCTTGAGGAGGGCCAGTGCCCAGCATCCATCCTGGGTGAGGGAATCCATTGGTTCCGGCTGTGAAAGCCTCATGGAGCTGCAGTGGCTGTGTGGCGCACGGCGCGGGCTCTGCAGGGGGCAGGGAGCCACGAGACTCACCCATTTCTCCTTGGGAATCCTTTAATTCCTGTTGTTGAGCCTCGATCTTCACTGAGGGACAGTCATCAACTGTTTAAGTGTTCAATTATCAATAAGCCAAAGTCTGTGGAAGGCCATAATGGCCCTGCTTTAAGTGGTTCACTGCTCCGGCAGCTCACCACGCTGTCTCTGCCTCCACCGCCATCATGGATCTCCAATCTTTGTCTTCTTGATGTTGAGCTTCAGTCCATATTAAAGACTATAGTCCTTGATCTTCCGCAGCAAGCGCTTCAAGTCCTCCTCAATTTCAGCAAGCAAGGTTGTGTCATCTGCATAACGTAGATTGTTGATGAGTCTTCCTCCAATCCTGATGTCACATTCCTCCTCATAAAGCCCAGCTTCCCAAATGATCTGTTCTACATATGGATTGAAAAGGTTTGGAGACAGGGTGCCTCCCTGACACACTCCTTTCCTGATTTTGAAACATGGAGTGTTTCCTTGCTCTGTTCTGAGGACTACTTCCTGGTCCAAGTATAGGTTTCACATAAGCACAATCAGGTGGTCTGGGACTGGTCCCATTCTCCTCAAAGTTAGCCACAGTTTG